TCAAAGTGACTCAGCTTTAATCGATTAATTGGTGAAATAATCGATTAAAACAGTGAGAAAAACCATTTTCTGTATCTGCTCACTGGTTTAATCGATTAACACTCATGTTAATCGATTAACAGGCCTATTAATCGATTAACAGGTCTTTTAATCGATTAAAACAGAGAGTTTTGGGGTTCTGTTGATTTTGGCTCTGTAATAATCGATTAACACTTCATTTAATCGATTATTTCAGTCAGATTTTGATTTTTAACTTCAAATCAACCCTATTTTCGAAAACCCTATTTCCAAGAACCCTAGTTTCGAAAATCTCAATTCCTAAACCCTAATTTCTCTACTTAAGCTTCTCTATGGCACTCAGAAAATAAGAACAACCTTTTTCATACAAATGTTAAGTGCTGTGAGTGTCAGAGAACTGTTTGTTGCGAGAAAAAGGGGCTTTTGGAACCTGGTGTGGGCTAGAAGCGATAAGAATCACTAAGTGGAGTTCTTAGTGGATTGTGTGTTGTGCCGTCTCTAGGGAAAGTTGTTCTTCATCTCTTGTGGATTTCAAGAGAGGTGTTTTCTTTACTTTATCTTTTCCATTGTAATCTGTTTGTAACAACTGTGATTATAGTGACAGCGTTAATCCTCTGTTTGAGTGATTAGCAACTGGACGTAGGGTCTTTTGATCCGAACCAGTATAAATCTCCTGTGTAAGATTCTATCTCTACTCTATTTACATTTACACAGTTTTTAATCAATAAAATTTGGGGAAAATTTTGAAAACCTAATTTTTGTTAAGAAACCAATTCACCCCCCCTCTTGGTTTTTGTCCGACCACATGAACATTCCACTGCGCGATTCTAACAGTCTTCTCCTGGACTAACATACTGTGCAATTCATACATATTTCATTTGTCTTTCATGGTGTTATAATTCATCTGAAACGGATCATACTCCAACGGTAACGAGTTCAAAATGAACTGCACAAGAAAATTTTCTTCTACTGTCATTCCAAGAGACTTGAGTCTTGTTGCGATATTTGTCATTTTGATTACGTGTTCATGCATACTACAAGAACCATCAAACTTCATGGTAGTCAATGTACTCATTAATGATTTGTCAGCAGTTTGAGAGCGTTCTTCCACAAATTTCATAAACTCTTTCGCATCCTCATTTTTAGGAAGAGCAGACTTAATATTGTTTGTTATACTCATTTGCATAAACATAAGACTAAGTCGGTTTGATCTTTCCCAAGCTCTATAATGAGTTTTCTCTTCATTGCTACTAGCATCAGTGATAGCAGCCAATTTTTCAACTTGGAAAGTCAAATCAAGATTCAACACACCTAAGTGAAATTGGACTTGTTCACTCCAGTAAGAGAAATTTAATCTATTAAAGACTGGAACAGACGAAGAGAGCGAATGTAAAGCTACAAGAACAAATACAACAATTAACACATGTCTAACATTAATGTTTTGAGTCATAAAATTAAACATAAATACATATTCCACCATAAATCATCATTCTATGCATACTAATGTTCTCCTTTGGGAGATTCACCAATACACAAACATAATTAGGCTAATCATTTTATAACATTAATGATAATTAAAATATGCATCAACTAGAATCACCTAACACCTTTAGGTATTTAAATAAAATTAGTAACGCACATAAAATTATCTACTTTCATGTTCATTAATTATAATAATAACTAATCAACATTTTGATGATACCTGAAATGTCTTATAATAATGAACTTCAATTAACCCATAAATCAATTATTTATAAGTTTAACGTTCGTATTATGGGTAATTGAAATAAAATCATTAATAATTTAAAATAAAAATAACCTTAAAATTTTGGCCACTTTGATGATTAACAAAATTTATCATGCTTAATTTTAAATAAATAACATCTTTAATTGTTATTAACCATTCATAGCATTTTTCATTAATTTTTTCATTTAATGATAACAAAACATAACATTATTATTGTAAATTAAAATTCATTCTTTATATAATAAAATAAAATTATAAAAGAGACCATTCATGTATTCCCATTTTGCCTTCGCATTAACATTCACACTTCCATAATTGAATAGCATTTTAAATCAAGTGCACTGGTTCCCATTTGCACTCCACAATAACATTCATATTTCACGTTCATAATTCAATTAGATTTTAAGCTAATTGAAGCAGAAATAGAATTTAAAAAAGACTAAATTATTCAACAGGACTCGTAAATCAATTTAGATGAGTGAGTGCTCGAGTTGCTGCCATTAACTCGTCACTTCAACACGTGGCCATTTCTTCAGTTTTTCATATTAATGTTTAAAATCACGTACACATATTTGCAATTCATATAATAATTAAAATCACACATTAATTCTATATTGGGCTACGTGACTCCTTTCAATTACACATTTACAATATCAATTAAAATTTTCTCACATTAGCCATACATGAATTGTTTCAATTGCCCAGGTCTCATCGACTGAATTGTATTATAAATTAATTGCAGTGGGAATTAATTGCATTATAAAAAGAATTATGTGACCATTGAAGCACATTAGTTATCAAATTGGTTTCGATTTGAAATTGAATGCAGCCTTATCCATAAATTAGAACTTATTCATTTATTCAATTTTGGGAAAAAACAAATTTGGGAATAAATTAGGGTCCATGTTAATCTGATAGAAAAATCCTAAATTTATAATTAGGGATTATCTTAATTTGGAAAAACTTTCGTAAAAGGAAAATCATAAATTTAATTATCAATGTTCTGATACCACATGTAAGTTAATTTGTAGTTTTCTTACGCTCTTAATTCATTATAGAAAACTATTCTACAATATCTTTAAATTATTTATTTTCACAATATAACATACATCAATATATGAATCATAGTAAGAAGACTAACATTGATCCATGAGAATCTATTATTTAATCTTTCGTTCTCCATTCTCCTTTCACAATCTATCTTTTTATCTTTTTTTCTTTTCTCACACTTTCTTGATAATTTACCGTAAAAAAAACTTATGACTAGAGACAAAGTCTTAATTCCCTTTTATTAACCAACGTTCATTAAGTTGGTTATCATAAATTTTTATGTTATTTTATCTTTATTTTATTTTAACTTCACATAATAACTAATAAATCCTTATATTTTATTAAATCATATTTTAACTTCATTATTATATTTCACATGTGAGTCACAGGATAAATTAATTTTAACATAAACTTCAGAAGTTGTATAGGACATAGGCCAAACCATTTAGATGGTCCATATATTTCAAAACACCAAGAAGAAAAAGTTGTTCAAAACCCAAAATCCTAAATCCAGCTCATGCCAATGCATGCATATGTACTAGTCATAATAATTTCGTTATTTAAATTTCCTTATTATAAATCAATGTTATTTTTATTTTTTTAAATCTGCTTTAAAAATATTACGGAACAAAATTTATAACAACATTACTATTTAATCATTTGGAATTAAATTATAAATTTCTGTATTGAGGTCATATAATATCATTAAAATAAACCATTTTAATGATAATCAGTGTAATTTCAGAATATTTACAGATAATTAGTGTAATTCTATCATTTATTAAAATCATGACAAAATCACATTGTTAACTCTAAATGTTTTACTTTGTAATAAAAAAAATCACTTACAATTTCTTAACTAACCGTTAAGAATACTGATTAAAAACAGATTTAAAAAATATTATTATTTTTTAAAAGGCTAAGTAATAAATTTAATAAAATAATACTATAAAATATAAAAATACTTATATTTAATGGAATTTTTAGTAACAAAACTTAAAATCTAAAATTGTTTCTTGTTACACCTCGTAATTTCTTTCTACACTCCATAGTTATTGAAGAACAATGTAATCTTTAATTTAAATAGGTTTTAAAAAATTAATTTTAGAACATTTTTGGATTAACTATTTTAAAAGTTTTCCGAAACATTTTCGGAAATTTCCATATTATATTTTTCAGAAATATATTTTAGAAATTTGGTTATAGAACATTTCCAAAAAAAGTTTTAAAATTTTTTGAAATATATTTTTGAAAAACACAATATTAAAATGAGTTCTATATAATATTTTTCAAAATATATTTTTTATTATATTTTATGAAAATATAGAAATTCAACAGTTTAGAATCTATTTTCAGATTGTGATTTTTGTAAAATATTTTCAAAAAACACAATTCAGAACACCACAAATGCAATCAAATGCGTTTGTTTACATAATTTTTGTCTATGCACACATATTATACGATTTAAAGCATAAATCATCGTCAAATTTCTAATCTGAGAGTGAAAATGCCGTTTGAACGAAGATACAAGAGGCGTAATAAACAGAGGTGTTGGTAAGGAGGTGTGACACGGGAAAATTTACCTTTAAGTACATTTTTTTATATGAGTGGTGTTATTTTGATAATAAGAGAATATACAATCCTTCAAATAATTTATTTTTATTAATATAATAATCTAATAAATGATTTAATAAAAATAAATTAAAATTATTATTATAATATTAAAAGAGTCTAACGAATTATTTAATAAAAATAAATTAAAATTATTATTTTAATATTAAAAGAGAATGATTTATAAGAATGGTATAGATTTGAATTATTAAAATAGCACTTTCTTTTTTATATTTTGCATAGATATTAGGGGTACAGACAAAATATTGGGGTGTAGAAAAAAGCAACCAGATCTAATGAATATCTCCAGTCTTCCCATACTACTCATGTTGGATAGGGCCGAGAAGTGGGCTAATGTGTAAAGCCCAGAAACTATGTCCAACAAAAAAAAAGAGTTCTCATAAACGACAAACGTATTTCTGCGCCGCGTATAAACATAAAGCATTGGGCATTCAGCTGCCGTTTTATTACGAATTACTGAAACCCCTAGAAAACCCCACTCCTCTCACTACTTCGTTCAAGTTGTAAGCACCGTAATAGTTTCATATCCTCGCTGCTTTTGCTTCTCTTCAAAATGTCTCTGCGAGTGCTGAACCCTAACGCAGAAGTGCTCAACAAATCGGCGGCACTTCACATGAACATCAATGCCGCCAAGGGTTTGCAAGATGTCCTCAAAACCAACCTCGGTCCCAAAGGAACCATCAAAATGTTTCTCTCTCTCTCTTCTACCTTTTCCTTTTCGTTTTTATGTCTTATTATGAATTGCTTTTCTCTAAAACTCTTTGATTCAGGCTCGTTGGTGGCGCTGGTGATATTAAGCTTACCAAAGATGGCAACACTCTCTTGAAAGAGATGGTTAGTATTTTTTGTTTTTTGTTTCTTTTTTACTTTTTTGTATTGTTAATTGAGATCTACTACTATGAGCCCTCGAAAACCATCATGGTGGATGCTGTTGATTTTTCTTGTTGTGATCTCAGCAAATCCAGAACCCGACGGCAATTATGATTGCGAGGACCGCTGTAGCGCAGGATGAGGCTAGTGGAGACGGCACCACTTCCACTGTCATCTTCATTGGCGAACTTATGAAACAATCGGAACGTTACATTGATGACGGTTAGTTAGTTTGTCACTCTGTTGGAGTTTGTATTTGTATTTGTTTCTAAGTTGTTCTTTGCATTGTTTTTGCTCATTGTGTGTTCGTAGATGTACCCTCTAACACGTGACTATTTATCTTAATCCATCATTCCTGGTAGTTTTATAGTATAAAGTTCCTCTAATATTCTGCTGCTTTTTGTGATTCAGTAGTGATTTTTTATGGTTAGTTAGGGTGAAATATAGAGAAGGTGACATTTTTGCTATAGAGAGATGAGGGAAAATGCATCTAGGATGACGATATGATATCCTTTGAAGCAGATTTTGAAATAAACAAGACTATTTATTACCTTTATTCATTTCCCTGGTAGCTTTGTACTATGAACTGCCGTTAATTTTCTACATTTTTATTAGTGGTGATTCCTTACATTTTGTAAGAGAAATTTGGAGAAGAGGATTCTTTTGCCATAGAGAGAGATGAAGAAAAATACAACTAGAGTGATGATATGATATCCTTTAAAACATGTTTAAAAAAAAACAACACTACATGCGTGAAATGTGAGAACCTGAGTGTATCCGGGAAGTGTAGTTTCTTTGCTCTTTCAGCAAGACCGATCCCCTTGACAGTAGAAACAAGCATGAATACATACCATAAGAGAGGCATTAAATGTTATACTATTCTATTGTAGGTTTAGGGGCAATTAGATTTTTTTAAATGTGGGGGTTGAGCCTTTTATGTTTTGATTCCTTTTCTATCATTTACTCCTTTGCTAATGCTGAGATGATATATGGATATTCTAGGTATGCATCCACGTGTATTGGTTGATGGTTTTGATATTGCAAAGAGGGCAACCCTGCAATTCCTTGAAAAGTTTAAGACTCCTGTTGTGATGGGTGGTGAACCCGATAAAGAGATTCTCAAGATGGTAGCTAGAACAACCGTAAGGACAAAGGTAAAATTTGTTTTATTTTTATCTCTTTTTAGCTGAAATTTGATCATACATTGATATTGTGGACAGAATGAAGGTATGACTTGTCTACTTAATTTTTCAGTATACATGATATTCTAACCATACATTTCCTCATCATTTGCAGTTGTATGAATCACTTGCAGATCAATTAACTGACATAATTGTTAATGCGGTGAGTATATATTGAATTGTAGACATTTTTAATTTGAATCCTTGTAAATATGAAAAATTTATTTGCATGTTGTTTGGTCATTTGAAGAAGTAGATTTTGCTGTTTGTTGGACCGGAACCTTTTACTGCTCTGGTTCAGTGAGTTGTGCTTTTTGCTATGACAGGTTTTATGCATCCGGAAGCCCGAGGAAGAAATTGATCTCTTTATGGTGGAGATTATGCATATGCGACACAAGTTTGATGTTGACACACGCTTGGTATGTTTTATGAATGACTTTTTCCAGCCACTCTTTTGCAGTACTTCGTTGTATATTATTTTGAATTTCATATCATTGTATACATCATGCATGTTAATATTGTTCTATTTCCATCATGATTTTCACAACATTCTAAAATTCTCAACTTAATATTACTGAATTAATAGTTGGGATGTGATGAGGAATCAACATTGTTTACCAAGGAGTTTCCTTTTGATGATTGTAACAATTTTAGACTTGACCTTATTTTGATTAAAATCATTACCTTATTTAGTTAGTGCATAATAGTTTCATTTTGAGAGGGACAGTTTGTGTTATGATCAAAAGCAATCCATCTTGTGCTGAACGCACTTCATACATAGTTTTGTTATAGTTTGGTGGTCTCAGCTTAGTTATTACCAAATATGAAAAAAATTCTTAGCTTTTAGTCTGTAGTTGTGCGTTTGTTAGCATGGTTTGCAATCTTTAGGTTTGTTGCTCGTCAAATTGAGTGAAAACTGCTCAGCTTGCATTATGGATAGAATTTCATATCCCGGCTAAGATAAAAAAACAACTTGTACTTCTAAAAAAAGGTTTGTACCATGTAGAAGCTATTCAAAATAGTTGAATTTGGTTGTAATTACCAAATTGATGGTGGATGGCAGCTTTGTGTTTGATATGTAGCATTTGAGAGAAATAGCAAGAGGCAGAATTATGAGGAGAGCTTCTGTAGAGAGCTAAACCATAACTGTAGTGGACTATCTTCTGGTTAGAAACAAAAGAAGGTAGAAGAGCTTCCGTTATTTATAAAATTTAGAACTCATAAATAAATCATGAATAAACAAAGTAGAGAGCTACTGTTATTTACAAATTTTTAACTCAAATAAATCTTGAAAAAACAAAGCTACACTACCTCAGCTACTGTAGTAGCAATAACACAAATAGCAACTCCATTTAAGTATAACTTGCGCTCATTTTCATATATTTAACTTATAATTTTTGTTTGCCCCTTAAGTTATGGGTTATGCTGCTCTTGCACCTAATCAGTTCATCCCTGTGTATTTTCTAGGTTGAGGGTCTTGTGCTTGATCATGGTTCTAGGCACCCTGACATGAAGCGACGAGCAGAGAATTGTTATATCTTGACGTGTAATGTATCTTTGGAATATGAGAAAAGGTAATCTGGTTGATACATGCCAATATCTTCCAATTCATGTTTTATGTGTGTTTTTTAAATGGCTGTCATTTGATTATTTTTACCTTATCCGTACATGTTAGTGCTATTCATAATTTATCACACTACCATACTTATGCCTTAACGCATGGATTCAAGCAAGTATATTATAGAATGGTAGACATATTGTTGAAATTAATGTATGAACCGTATAATTACCTTCAATCATTTAATTACAGGTATCAGAAATTTACAAATTTTAGATTTATTGTTTTTAATATTTACCAACATTGTGTATTTCTTTATTTCAGACACAATATTTTGGTGATTGTGTATTTCTTTACTTCAGACACAATATATTGATGTTGTTTGGTAAAGTGAGTATGTTTTATGTTACCAACATTGTAGGTTTTATGTTTACTCTGTGTTCCTAAGGAAGTTTTAGTTAACCTGAATGAAACAAGTCAAGTATGAATTTACTACATAAGAAATACTGTCACTGTCTTTTTTTTTATTAATCTGAATTTTCTGTTTTCTCTTTCTATAAAGACTGTTTTAACCTAAAAGAAACCAAGCTTTCATGTATTACTGCAAGGGGAATCTGTTTATTTCAATGCTGTTTGGTCAACAATTATATCACTTCAGTCAATGCTGTTTATGTTGTGTGATTTTTCAGTATCTTTGTGGTTTACATTGTTTGGCCTATGTGAACTTACCTGTTATCTTTGTTGTCTGTAAGATTAATGACATCAATGTTTTCTCCTCCCAGTGAAGTAAATTCAGGTTTTTTCTACTCAAATGCGGAACAGAGAGAGGCTATGGTTGCTGCTGAAAGACGACAGGTTGATGAGAGAGTTAAAAAAATCATTGAACTGAAGAATAAGGTAGAGAAGTTTTGCTCCTTGTATGCATTGATTTTACATGTTAATATGGTCTGTTATATTGTCAATAACATGGTAATGTTATTTCACATTTCTTTAAAATAGATATACAAAACATTTATGGATTATAACTGAAACCTCCCTTTTTTGGATCCATCTCACATCAATAACTCGAAATTTTATTTCACTACCCTTGAGTAAATAACTTCAATTGTGTGTATGCAGATTTGTTCTGGTAACGATAGCAATTTTGTTGTCATAAACCAAAAGGGAATTGATCCCCCATCACTGGACCTGCTTGCAAGGGAAGGAGTAAGTAACTTACCATTATATTCAGGTTTTTTATTGAAAACTGCCTGTTAATTTTGCAAGAAACATTTTATACTGGAATTATGAAGTGATTCAGTGAATCATGACCTAGTTGAATGGGCATGATGCTTTGAAGGATCTAAAAATGAAAATTAAGAGGTTAATTTTTTTATGAACAAAACCCATTGGGTGATCCTTAAAGAATCCTGCATGTGCTGATTATAATCATCTTTGCGATGTTAAATACCCATTAAGCTGACATCAGTTATGTAATCCTTATCCTGTTTTCCATCTGCTGATTTTTTTGTTTTTGTGTTTTAGATAATTGCCCTAAGGAGAGCAAAGAGAAGAAACATGGAAAGATTGGTTTTGGCCTGTGGAGGAGAGGCAGTAAACTCTGTTGATGATTTGACTCCTGAATGTCTGGGTTGGGCAGGATTGGTATATGAACATGTCCTTGGCGAAGAGAAATATACATTCATAGAAAATGTTAAGAATCCTTTTTCCTGCACAATCTTGATTAAAGGTAAATTGTGTTTGTGCCTATTGTGAGTTTGTTAAGCAGATCCTTCTGTACTATTTAATTTTTTTGCATGATGTTTGCTATGACTTTTGAAAGACTGTCATTTTATTGGCAGTAATGGATTTAAGATTTGCTTTTTTGTCATGATGAAACAGGTCCTAATGACCATACAATTGCTCAGATTAAAGATGCTGTACGTGATGGTTTGAGAGCAGTGAAGAATACCCTTGAAGATGAATCTGTTGTATTAGTAAGACCTTTCTTACGTCAATCAATTACTTTGATACATTAATTGTCCACTTTTTTTCTCTTTTTGAATATGCATGTCCATGCTATTGATTAACTCCATTTTCTTGTCATAATTTCCTTAGTCAAATGAATTTTCAGTTGTTACCTAAATTGCACACATCGTTTGGTTTAGCTTTTGTACAAAAACCAAAACACATAGTCTGGTTTGTGAGGGCATAGCTGTTAGATTCATCAGAAAATAATGAATCAAATTGGACCTAGCAGTTACACTACATAAGAAATTCTGGACCTAGCATAGCAGCTGCATTATGATGTAGATTACTATTGGAGTTTTGATTTAAATAGAAAATATTAATGTAGAATTTGGCAACTTTCAGCATGTTCTTAATTTATTTATTATACCAAAATGAGCCAGAAACTTTTATCTCACGTCATTTCAAATTTCAAGGTATGTGTGCCTCGATTTGACTTGGTGAATGAGTCTAATTAGGAAAAATAAAGTGTATTTTTACATATGTTTAGGTTAAGTTAAATAACTTGATTTGTTCCTAGAGTTGCTTGAATAATTTTTAGCTTCTAGTCGAATCCACTTTTTTCAAGTAGTTAATTGTTGGAAAGAAACCTGTAAAACTGCAAGGAAGCTAGATACGTGAAAAACGAAGATAAACTCATGGATTCTCCAATACAGAACTCTTGATTTTTTATTTTTTTTTGTTATTGTAATTGACTGGTAGAGAATTTTCTTCCCATGACCAGGGTGCTGGTGCATTTGAAGTTGCTGCTAGACAATATCTGATGAACGAAGTTAAGAAAACAGTTGAAGGGGTAAATAAGACTGTCTCTTGTCATCCGTGTTTTTATTTTTGTTTAATTGTTACATAGTTTGATTTTCAGCACTGATTTTTATAACCTTGAAACAGCGTGCACAACTTGGTGTTGAGGCTTTTGCTGATGCACTTCTTGTGGTGCCTAAGACACTTGCTGAAAACTCTGGGCTTGACACTCAAGATGTGATTATTGCCCTTACGGTACTTTCCTTGAAATTTTTCCTCTTATCGTCTTTCCCCTAATGTGATTGTATCGATATTCTAGTATAAAATAGAAGACTTATTATTATTGTACTTGCCGAATGGTGTTTCAGGGGGAGCATGACAAAGGAAATATTGTGGGGCTGAGCCTGAACACAGGTGAACCTATAGACCCTGCAATGGAGGGTATTTTTGACAACTATTCTGTGAAGCGCCAAATCTTAAACTCAGGGTATGGTTGAATCTTGATCTGTTGACACCATCAATTTGTTTTCTGGTTTTGAAACTAGGAACACGGGAATACTAGAACCATGTCATCACTAATGATATGGTGGAGACAGAGGGAGGTGAAAAGAGAGAGAAACTTGAGTTTTCATATTTAGAAATCAGTTTTTCTCTTTTCTTTCCACCTTTTCTCCAAACAAAAATAAATACATTGTTATTTGTATTTTTTGCCTCTATTTCTTTCCCCTGCCAAATTAACATTACCATAAGTGTGGGCTTTTTCTCCCTCTATTTGCATTTCTCCCTTCCAAACATTTCCATAAATGTGGGGTTTAGTTTGGACAAGTTTGGAGCTTTTTTTCCTGTACTTGCTCATGTATGTACGTTGGCTGGGTTTTGATTTTATTTTTTTCTTTGACTAAAACTAGGCCAACTCATACATTAGTGAATTTTAAACTTTGCATTAAAAAATTCACAAATGAATGTGTTAAAAAAATGTATGAACTTAAAATACAAACCATTATTTATTGCAGTCTGAAATAAATTATCTGTCTAAATTGAAATAAGCATATGTTTTGCATGGGCTGAACTCTCTACGGACATCTAAGCTACAGTAAAAATAATTAATGATTGGAAGCCAAAATCTTATCTCTCGCCACTACTGACTTGTCAACACATAAAGCAAGCATGAAGCATTGGTGAAGCTATTAGTAATTGGCCTAACAATTTAAATGGATTCTGTTTAAGTTGTACATACAGGAGTTGATAACCTATCCTTAGCAATGCATGGAAGAAAAAAAATACATGTGGGATGGGTGAGGGTTGTGGGGGGGTGGCATAGGTCAGATTTGTCTGGGTTTTTTTAAGGTCTAAACTCAAATGTTATAAACCTTGCAGGCTGGGTCAAGCTTCAAGACCAAATAGTTTATATCTTGACCCAACCGGCTGCCCATCATTTTGCGATATCAACCATGTTTTCCTGCATCTAGTTTTGTTGTCAATTTCAATGTTATTCAATCTACTACACTCAACAATTCAAAACTTGAACTCCATCAGCATGTCTTTTGTCTGTTCATATACAGGCCAGTCATCGTATCTCAGTTACTGGTGGTGGATGAAGTGATCCGTGCTGGACGTAACATGCGGAAGCCAACATAGATGTATTTACTTGAAGCTTCTCTTTTTGATAGGGTGTGCCATAAACTGATGAACTTTCTCTATTTCGAGGTGCCAGCAATATTGGTTGGGATTGTTGACTCACTTATTTTAATATGTTCTAATGAAATGTTTATGGGTTTTGCTTTTTCCCATTTTATTATTGCTCTCGATGACTTTGTCATGTAAGTGTACCATGGCTGAATTTTGGGATCCTTTTGAATTTTGTAAGCATATTCTATTTTGTAGAAAAATTAGTTGAGAGAATGTTTTACCATGGAAAGTTGCTTGTTTAAAACAGCACCCCTAACTCAACATGGCATCACCTTTATAATTTTGTATGAAACGTCGATGCCATTTAATTAATATATTTAAAAAAGATTTTCAATTTTAAAGATGAATGAACTCTCGGCTGCCGGAAATGCACATAGCTGAATGTAAAAAAATAGTATTCCTACACACCAGTCTTATTGGCTAAGAAATCCTTAACACTACAGGAATTGATAGGAATGAGTGCATATTTCGAATCTACTTTCATTATTGTGATAAACATCTGGGAAGGCCTGTATATCATTATACTACAACTTTGGAGATTGTATTACGAATTTAAAGTACTCTACCAAATGTATGCACTATGTGCCTATATTGTAAGTATCTGAAAAATCCAATTCTACTTTTTATTTAATATATATATATATATATATATATATGCTTTTTTCGCTTTGAAGTAAATATTTACACTGTAACTGATTTTGTTAATGTTGTCTAATGATAGATTAATATATATCAAAAGATTGTTGAGTTCTAGAGTAAGTTATTTTAAGTAATTTATAATTGGTTGACAAAATAAAAATATTTGTGAGGAATTTTATGGAAAATATCTATTAGAAGACGTCGAACACTTAATTTAATTGGATATCGCATTGATGGATTAACCATCCATTTAAGTATTTTTTAAATATTATTCAATTATTGAATAATAGAGACCTCGAGTCTAGGGTTACTAAATTTTTGTTATGTATATAATTTAATTAAAACGAACTGATAGTGTAAGTTATTTTTATAATAAAATTTAATTATAATTGTTCTTATTTACAACAAATTATTGGATTTTCAATAATCACATTTAAATTGTTTATTAAATTAGTTATCAATCTTTTTTAACAACTTATTTCCAAGTTGCTAGTTTAAGTAGTTTGTCGTGTTTTTTTAGTAAAAGTTTTGTATATAAAATAAAGTTTTGCTAGAAATGTGAACCCGACAATTTTAAATTAATACTCGGAGATGAATTATCTGAACTAGGACAATTTTAAATATAGACAAAATGCTTTTCAAACATATTTTATTATTAAGATATATACTAATCTTACCACATAAAAAGAAAATTGACTTCCAAAATAACTAAAAGAAAAATTATGGAATATATATTTCTAAGAAAAATATTTATTATTAGCGAATTTGATAAAAAAAAAGTTAAGTGAATTTAATTTTTATTTAATAAATCTCCTATAGTTTAATTTTTAATAACTAATAATAATGTATTAGAGAAAAAAATGTATTGGTGCTGGAATTCGAACGAAAAAAAAATAGAGTACTCTAGCTTTGTTCGGGTGATTTTACATGATTCCATTCCACCCACGAGTGGCAGTTCAAAGAGGGCAACTCACGTGTGGAGGGTGTTAGGTAGAAGGAAGAAGACCAGCGAAAACGGGGCAGAGTGTCAAATCTAGCTGCTTAGACGATGAGGTCATAATGCAAGGCACACACGTGACACGTCAGTCATTCAAATAAATACACATTTGTCTTCATGGCAGGGCGTGGCTTGGCCGTGCCCATTATTGTTACTCAGCTCTGACACCGAACAACCATTACCAGTAGTTCTCTTCTCTTGCGTAGCGCATTTGGTCTAGATCTCGTCCCATCATGGCACAAGTAGTGCAAAACAAGCAAGTTACATTCAAAGGGTACATAGATGATATTCCTAAAGAAACCGATATGGAGCTCAAGCTTTCAAATCTCGAGCTCAACCCTCCCCCACAAGGATCCGCTGCAATTCTCGTGAAGAACCTTTATCTCTCTTGCGATCCGTACATGCGCGGTCGCATGCGTGATTTCCACGGATCTTATATCCCTCCTTTTGTGCCTGGCCAGGTTACAAACTACTAACTACTTCAATTATGTTATAATAGAATGCGATGGATACAGTAAATAATTGATTCCTGTGTATTTTTATGAAGGCACTTAATGGATTTGGTGTGTCCAAGGTTATACACTCTGATAATCCAAATTACAAGGCTGGTGATTTCATTACCGGGTTCACTGGCTGGGAGGAGTATACCCTCATCCGAAGAACAGAGCAGCTCAGAAAAATTCAGCCTGATGATCACATTCCTCTCTCCTTCCATGTTGGTCTACTTGGTATGTCACTCCCCTCAATTACTATCAACTTTCGGGCACATGCTTCTTTCTTTATTTTCTTTACTACTTTGATTTTATATCTTATAGTTTTACTACTTTATTGTATCCGAATGTCAATCAGGTTTAGTATTGGTATCTCTCTTTTAGAATATGACTTCCTTTTCCAGGTTTTAGACCCAACATCGCCCAGATCCATAACAGAGTGCCACTAGATTCGGATTTTAGGTTGCTGCAAGTGTTATGATATATTAGAGGTGTGGTTGAGTTGGCACCATATTTTTCATTTTTGGAAAACTGTTGAGACAACTAACTGATTCTGTTAGTAGTTAGTTGTTATAAAATGGAACAATTCCAGGGTATAGAAAAAAAAAAAAAAAAAAATCATCTTTCTTCTTGTATCTGCAAAAATTCTGTAACTCTTTTCCTAATTCTTGGAATTAAATCAGAGACCTCTCTTCTTGGACTCTTCTTCTTCATCTAGTGCCACGGTTACTCTCACTATAGTTCTTTCGTAACAAGTGGTATCAGCCTGCACGATTCATTTGGCGACTTCAATGGCGGAATCAACGCGATCAGTTCAATTGATCAAGGAAATGGAGACAAGATTGGAAACTTGTTTAGAGGGACGTTTGGCCGAAGATGCTCGTGTTCTTGAAGAAAAATTGAAAGTACGTTTTGCGGATCAGACACAAGCGTTCGATGCAAATTTGGAGGTTCGTTTGGCTAGTTTCGCAGGGCAAATCCAACGAACGCTGGCCGATTCTTTGCACGCAGAGATTCGAGTAGGATTGCTGAGCCGATCATCAAATGGAATCAATACAACAAACTCATTCCATTCAAATGTTACAGGATCGTCATCTTACAATTGCGGCACAAGGTTAGCTCGGATTGATTTTCCCCGTTTCAATGGTGAAAATGTGAATCAGTGGCTCTACCAATGCACCAATTTCTTTCAAATTGATCCTACACCTAATAATGTAAAAGTCCAATTGGCAATTGTACATTTGGAAGGTCGCACATTACAGTGGCAAACTGCACTATCTAAAACCAAGAATTGTTCTCTATTATCATGGGATGAATATCAGCAGCTAGTTCTGGAAAGGTTTGGAGATATATGTGAGGATCCCATGGTAGATCTTATGAAGCTAAGACAAAAGAAGACAGTAGCTGAGTATCACGAAGAGTTTGAGGCCTTGATAAACCGTTTAGACCTATCAGCGGAATACAGTTTGAGTTGTTTTTTGGGGGGCCTTAAACAAGATGTTCAAATGCTAGTGCGCATGTTTCAACCCAATTCAGTGCAAAGAGCATTTACACTGGCCAGGATGTATGAAGCCGCAAATTCCCCTGTCAATTTAACCCTTTCCAAACAACACTCCGCAGTTGCTAATAGCACTTCAATTCACAAGGCACAGAAAGGGATTTTGGGTGCCAAACCAGATGG